CATCCTTGTCCTTGAAAGGGCCCTGGGGTTAGTGCGGGTGCCACTGTGGCGCGCCCACTGTTTTCACGGGCTTTCCATGGCCCTGACCCCTCCGGGGGGAGTCCGTGTCTCCACAATCCTCAGCCTGGGTCGTGGCCTGCGGACTGTGCCGTGTTGGTCACTGCGTCCACCAGCATTCGCCCCACGAAGCACCGAGCACGGCTGCGGTCTGAGTTGACAGACATGGTTATTTGCCTAGTGCTGCTGACCTCCGTGACGTCAGAGCTGTATTTGTTCTGTCTACTCCTGTATCCTCAGTGCTTAGCACATTGCCTCGAACAGGAACTCAGCAAATATTTGTTGAACGCCAGAGTGAATGGATAGATGAGATTTGGGTCGCCATGGCAGCGGGCTGCTCTTTAAGCTGCCCTCTCCCTTGGTTTTCCTCCTGACTCTTCTCTCCCTTTACGTTACACTCGCAGTAGAGGGAGCCGTGGTTGAGAAGACCTGGATTCTAATCCGGGCTCACCACCTGTTAGTCCTTTCTGAATGAATGGATGTTTTCCAGTGAAGACTCATCGACTATCTCTTTTGAGTTAGGCCTGTACGAGACAGTGAGGATTCAATAGACAGATTGGCGTTGACTGGGTCTGTTACAGAATTTCAAATCTGAGACCAGAGAAAAAAGTGCGTTAGTACTTACCTTGCATGCAGCTGACCCTGATTTGAGATTTGGATAACCAAGAGAAGATGTGTAGAAGTAAGAGATTTGAACCCTCCTAGGGTTCCCCCCAAGCACCATCAGGGGTGACCCCTGAGCACAGAGCCAGGAGCATGCCTTAAACACAACCAGATATGGCTGACCCCCACCCCCACCAACACACACCCCTGAAAAAAAATTTTTTTCAGTCTAGAGGGAAAAGATGAATAGATGAATGTCAGCAGGAATAACAATAACCATGCATTTGATTAATAGTACATCTTTGCCCTGTCTGAGCTTCCTTTTCTTCATCTCTAAGTGATACTATTTCTCATGTTATTAGAAAGATCAATAACTATTCTTTTAAGCAGTACATCAGTTAATATTACAAATGCTTTGTGACTATTATAAATGCTAGTGAACTGTTGCCTTCACTAGACAAGAGAAGTTCTAGGAGCGAGACATGAATCTTTCTGAGTGCGACTGACACACGGGTCTGAGGGCTGGAGCCTGACTGGGGAGCACAGGATGGAGGAGGGGGGTTACGGGGAAGGGGAGGAGGAGGATGGCCGGCAGCCTTGGAAACCAGAGATTCAAGCAGCCGTGAGAGAACACCTGCTCGGTAATGGTTTCCTAGGAAAACATGTTATTTAAAGTACTTACATAGTTGAATTTTTAACTTTATCAAGCAGAACTAGAATTTCTTTCATATTATTGGGATTAGTTTTCTTTTTTTTTTTTTTGATAGTGCTTTTCATTTCCTGTTTTGACATCTATCCTGTGAATTTGGGGCAAACAAAAAAAAAATGCTGATAATTGTCCAAATTCTCGCTTTGCCATCTTATTCGACCTGCTTTCCCATCGTTTTCTTCACGTTCAGCAGTGAGGCGTTTACTCTGTGACAGGAGTTTGGGACTGTATTGTCTTTTCCTCAGCATTTTAGAAGCTCTTTCTGGGAAGAAGAGATATTATTGCTCATGCATATCAAGAAAAATTAGTAGGGAGAGTTGGCCCGCACCATTAAACGTGTCTTGTATCAGAACTGTAATTTGAACTTGAAAATTTGGCTCCAGGCTAAGCCTGGGGCTTGGGGGGTGGGGGTGAAGATTTAGGATAACCAAGAGAAGATGTGTAGAAGTAAGAGACATATATATTTTTTTTATTTTTCCTTAATAACGTGATGGTGATGTTCCTCACACAGGGTAACAGAATGTCAGAGCAATAAAATGTCTAAGCAGAAAAGAGCTCAGATCCTGTCCTTCGGTCTCCTTACTTTATAAATGCAAATACTTTGTGTTTTTGTGTTTGTGTAGTTCCTTACAGAGATTTTAAATGAAGCCCTCACGGTGAAGTGATTTTCTAGGCAAATCAGTGGCAGCTCAGAGCCCATGTTCATGCCCCCGTCCCCCGCGTGGTCTGTCTCTGGTTAAGCGCCTGTAAGGAGGTGGGTTGGCCATTGTATGACCCACTGAAAGCTTGAACTGTGGAGCGAGTCACCACAGCAGGTCCCACTCCCTACTTATGTGATTTTTTGGCAAGTTACTGACCCTCCCTTCAGTTTCCCTTCTGTAAAATGCTCGTGTAAAATCGTTACTGAAAAGGGAAATGACTCGGAGGACTGGACATACACCTGTCATGTGTGTCCACACAGTGCCCGCACCATATGTCCCTCAGAGCACACCCAGGCAGGGCTCTCACCGCCCCTGAACGGGGATCAGGTCGCCCTGCTAAGCCCTGGCATGGCCAGAGGCTAGTGGCACTCACGGCCAGGCCCATCATGGGCTCATCAGGCCAGCCCAGGCGTCCAAATCTCCCCAGGAGGGCCTGAGAGCCCCCGAGCACTGCTGGAGGGCACTCCCCCAGGTTTACCCCTCCTGACAATGCCACCGTGATTTCTTGGGTGGTGGGGGCCAAACCCCAGCCTCTGAGCTCTGGCCCGCACTGGTCTCACCTTAGAAATTATTCTGAGGACAATAGTTCAGTGGGCAGGACGCATGTACCCCCCCCACCCCACCCCAGCATCCCATACTGAACCCAGGCGATGATCCTTGAGTGCAAAGCCAGGATTAATTCGTGGGTATCCCTTGGTGTGACCCAAAACCAGAAACTCAGACTGATATCCACAGATCTGCAAAGTGTTTTATAGAGTGTTACAAATATTCTAAAAGGAAAAAAATGGAGATCTGGAGAGAGACCTCAGTGAGCTGAGCACATGCTTCAAAATGCAGGAAACCCGGGTTCCATCCCCGGCACTGCCTGGTCCCCTGAGTACTGCTGGGTGTGGTGGAAAACAGGAGAGAAAATGAATCTTTGAGTCAGAGAGACAGTATAAGGATCGGGGGTCTTACCTGGGGCTCGACCAAGTCCCCCAGTTTGATCCCCAGCACCACATCGGGGGGTCCTCCAGGTCCTCCTGGAGTGAATCCCTGAGTACCACCACATGTGGCTCAACTTCCCCCTCCCCAATAAAAAATGAGTGTTTGTGTATACTATGGTTGTCATCTGTAATCCAGGGGGGAAAGGAAATGGAAGTTAATTCTGTTGTGTATGTAACCCTGTGCCTGCAGCCAGCCTGTGAGGACAGGGCTTAGGGATGGAAGGAAGGCAGAGGGAAACACACGTTTTGGTTTTGTTTTTTTAATCTGTATTCATAGGTGTTGAAGATTGTGTGTGTGTGTATGTGTGCGCGCGCACGCCATGCTCTAGGCAAAAGGCTTGCTTCCGGGGGTAACCAACCAGCATTACTTTTCTTAAACAGTCTGAAAATGCACAGAATGTGCTAAAAAGCTCTTCCTTGTCCTGAAACACAGTTTCCTCTGTCTTTCTCCGACATTCTTCCCTCTGCTCAGCCTGCCACAGTCATACTGGTAGTTTTTGGGTCACCCAGTGGTGCTCAGGGGTCACTCCTAGATCTGTGCTCAGGAATAACGCCTGGCAGTACACAGGAGGACCGTATGGGATGCCAGAGATCGAACCTGTGATGATCCCGCTCAAGTCCAGTGTCGAATGTACTATTGCTCCAGCCCCGCTGGCTGTTTTCTTGAATGAGCCAAGCTCCTGCTCACTTTCTGCCCACGCCTTTTTCCTCGAAGGTGGCTCCTCATTCTAGGGATCAGCCTACTTCTTTTTCCAAGAATTCCTACACCTCCTTAGCTCCCTCTGTGTCAGATACTTAGGTAACCATTACCTTTACTTGGTGCGAGTATCTGTTCAAATATTGCCAACTCAGTGAGGCCTTTCATGGTCGTCTTATCTAAAATAGCATCCCAGGGCCCAGGCAATGATACAACGAACAGGTAGGGCCTTGCACATGGCTGACCTGTGTTCAATCCCCGGCATCCCATATGGTCCCCTGAATCCCTCCAGGAGTGATCCCTGAGTGTAGGAGTAACCCCTGAGCACCTTCGGAGGAGAGAGGGCAAATATCAAAAAATAAATGAACTAATGAAATAAAAATTGCATCCAGGAGTAGAGACACAGCTCAGGCGGCAAGCACACGTACAGCGTGTTTCAGACCCTGGATTGAATCTCTGCCTGCACATGGCCACTCCCCAAGCACCATTGGTGGCACCCTGGCAGCCCCGATGGAGTCTGTCTTCTGGCCTCTGTTATCTAAAGCCCAGTGGCTTCAGCAGCATTATTTTCTGGTTTTTTTTTCCTCTCTCTGTTCCCTATCTTTACCTCTACCTCTCTCTCTCTCACTCTCTCTGTCTCTCTCTCTGTCTCTCTGTCTCTGTCTCTCTCTCTCTCTATCTATCTCTCTCCCTCCCTCTCCCTCCCTCCTTCCCCTGCCCCCACCCCCCCACACACACACACAACAAAGGCAGGGCCTTTATTTTTACTTATTACATCACCGATACCGTCACCTATACGTCACCATGGTATTGGTGATATAGTGAAAACAGTCTAAGACACAGTATTTTTGTGGATGAAGGGAAGGAGAGAGGAATAGATGGATGGATGGACTATAACTTCAGGAGATAGTTTTGCCCTTTCAGCCTCAGTATTTCATAGCTTTTATGAGGACAGTGCCATGGCATGAATTAGGGGGGAAATCTGTGCTTATTTAAGTAACTAGCTCTTCTGAGTACATCGCGGGTCATACAGCAATGGAGTGATTGAATGGCCGCCCTCTTTATGAATGGTCAGATTCTCGTAGGATTAGACCAGCATTAATTTCTGGTTATTGGCAATCAGTTAGTGTCCAACTGTGACCCCACGGACTAAATGGAGATAGACCTTTTTCTAATTAATTGCCGGAAAGATTAACGACAGCCTCGTTGTTCTGACCATTCTCTGCTCTGACTCTCTTTCTCGCCAGCATTTCTTACACAGAAGCAGTGGAGATCTTGAAGCGGGCGTCCCAGAACTTCACCTTCCCCCCCGAGGTATACTCTTCACACACACGCCAACACTTCCCAGCTGCCTTATTTCGCGGGGAACCCTTTAAGGTGCTCAGTCTTACCAGGCCAGCAGTGTATCCATACGTGTTGCCCAGTGAAGCTGGTTTGGGTTTGCTCACTGAACCTTGTTGAAATATTTAGGACAGAGATAGAGTGTAAAATAGAGCGCTGTCTTCTGTTTCCAGTGAGAGAGAGAGGGAGATCCACAGCGAGTTCCGAGTCTCCTGATTGAGCTGGGAGAGGGCTGGGGCCGTGGTCTCTCCGTGGAGGTCCCGCGTGTTTTCCCCGCCCCTGCGTGCCCGCACACCTCCGGGCCTGAGAGCAGGCTGAGCCCTGCGCCCCAGGGCCACGGCTGGTAAAGCCAGGAAAAGTCAGGAGGATCCCGGGAGCCCCTGCATCCACACGGAAAGATCAGCACACTGCTGCTTCCTTTCTGGACTGTCCATTTGCTTGTTTTTGGTTTGTGGCCACACCCGGCGATGCTCAGGGATTACTCCTGGCTCTGCACTCAGGAATTACTCCTGGCGGTGCTCGGGGGGGAATCATATGGGATGGCAGTCAGCAGCATTCAAGGCAAAGCACCCTGCCTGCAATATTCTCCCCGGCTCCTCCTGCCGGTTTTTATGATGGTTCGTTCATTTACCGATTTTCTCCTGCCCAGAGAATCCCTTTCTTTACCGCCCTACCCAGTCCCTAGCATGGTACCTGGAATTCAGTGGGCACTTTTGTATTTGATGAATAAATAAATGAACAGGGCCATTAAATATTCATCAAGGAGCATCTGATATGTGAGTTGACTCTTTTATTAAAAAATCATTCACAGAGAGAAGCCATCTCGCCCGAGATAGACTCAGAATTAGAAATACTATCTTTCATCATCTCATTTCCCTGAGCTGTGGGTGGGGCGGCCACTGTGGACGACGCATCGGGCAGATTAATGAACCTGTGACTCTGCACAGTCGGTTCTTATACACTGTGGAGAGAGGGGTCTGTTTTCCCGTGGCTATTATTCATCTGCTAATGCTGCCTTCTGACATGGGCACTGGGAGGCTCCATTTGCCGTTGGCCAAATTTCAGCTTTCACCCTTCCAGATCTTTGGATGCTTTTGTTTTTGTTTTTAAGAGTGGAAGGAGTCTGAAAATACAGTCCAACAGGTAAGATACCTTGCCTTGCATGCTCAGTCAACCCATGGTCAGTCCACAGACGGTCACCCAAGCTCACCCCACCCACAGGAGTGATCTCTGAGCACAGAACCACGAGGAAGCTCTGAGCCCACCACCACATGTGGGCCCAAAACAGACAAAAAAGAAACATTTTTAAAAGTTGAAACTAGAGACTCTTAACTCCTGTGTCACCCCCCGCTTTGCCATTCTGTGCCACTCAGCCAGGGCTGGAAATCAAGACCCCTGGCCCCTGCGGGTAGATCAGAGAGTCTGAGGCACAGCCAGGGCACCCAGGACGGCAGGTACTGTGTCAGCAGAAGCACACCTGGCGGGGCCCAGAACCCACTACAGACACCCAACCCTTGAGCTGCTCAGCCAGGTCGTGCCCGAGGCCTCCTGGATTAGGGGTGAAAGTGGCCAGTGTCCCTCCTGGGCACGTCTTTGTCCAGTCGCCTCATCAGTGCAGCCACAGCAGCTGACCCTGGGGGCAGGAGGCTCCTGGCATTGGCCTGGGCCCTGCTAACACAGCCGTCTTCCTGTGCTCTCTCCCGGCCTCCTGCCCCCGCTGACCGGTTCCGTCTCATCACAGTGGGGCGCCGACCTGCACACAGAGCACGAGAAGTACCTGGTGAAGCACTGTGGCAACGTGCCCGTCTTCGTGGTCAACTATCCGCTCACGCTCAAGCCGTTCTACATGAGGGACAACGGCGACGGCCCGCCCCCCACGGTAAGCAGAGGCAGAATGCCCCAGGCGCCAGGCTCCGCGCGTGGCCTTGGGCTTTCCCTGGATTTGGGTTTCGTGTGCGTTTTCGGTGTCTCTTCTTCCCGGGAAATTGCCTGACGGTGGATCTGTCCATCACTCACTCATCTCCTCAGATAAAGTGTCATATAAGAATGTCTCCAAAACATGAAAATTTCTCAACCAAAAGAGGTTACAAGTGGAAAAAGTTTTCAGTCATCCCGCCTGTGGGTGGTAGAGATAGTCCAGGAGTTACAGCATTTGCCTTGCAGAGCAGCTGGCCCCCGGCTCGATCCCCTCCACTGCATAGGGTTCCCGAGTACTACCCAGGCCACCCCGATACGCAGCCAGGAGTAGCCCCAGAGCACTGCCGGGTGTTGCTTGTTCCCCGACTACCACAAGAAAAAGGAAAGGAAAGGAGAGGAGGGAGGGGGAGGGTGACCTGGCTTGGAGCTCTGTTGCCTGCTGAGTCCGCTGTGCGTTCAGACACTGGCGCGAGGTGCTGAGGGCTAGGTGGGGGTCGGGGGGTTACCCTGGGCTGAGTGAGTCCCGCAGGCCAACTTGGCTGCAGTGAGGCTGGGGCTGGGGGTGGCCTCACTCGGTCTCTCTGGCGTTTCTCCCCTCGGCACTCGGAGCCTTCTTTCACCCCACACTTAGCAATTCCAAACTGCTTCCTTTTCTGTTTGTTTTTTTTTCTTATTTTGGGGTCACAGCTGGCCGTTCTTGGGGCTTACTCCTGGCTCTGTGCTCAGGGATTAGGGGACTACATGGGGCGCAGGGGATCCAGTTCGGCTGCGTGCAGGGCAAAGGCCCTCCCCGCTGTGCTGTCTCTCTGCTCCCACCGGCCTGCTTTCTTTTCTCGTCTTTTCTTTTTTGTCCTCATGGTTTTGGGGGTCACACCAGGGTCCGTGCCTGCAGGTCACTCCCTGAGTGCTCAGGGACCATGTGGGGCTGGGACTAGCCACACCTCTTGAGTGCCAAGCCTGTACTCGGCCACTGAGCCCTTTCTCCAGCCCAGAATGAAGGAGTGTGTGTGGTGCCAGGGGCCAGATGCACGCAGGGCCTCACGCAGGCAGGCCTCAGTGCTGGGCCGCCTCCCCCAGCCCTGCTCTCCCATGCAGTACTGGTAGGAGCATCAGAAAGAATGTTTGTTTCTGTTTGGGGGCCCACACCCAGTGATGCTCAGAGGCTACTCCTGGCTCTGTGCTCAGGAATTACTCCTGGAATGCTCAGGGAACCCTATGGGATGTCTGTCGGAGATTGAATCCGGGTGGCTGCGTGTAAGGCAAGCCTTCTACCCACTGTACTGTCTCTCAGGTCCTGAACTTCAGTTCCTGTGTATTTAACGTGGTCAATTGTAAACATTTACAAGAGCAAATATGTTTATGTCTCAAAAAGGTTCAGGAGCAAAACCTATTTTGTGGGGGTTAGGGCAGTGCAGGGGAGGGAGTATGACCCACACCCAGTGGTGCTCAGGAATTACTCTGAGCTCTGTGCCCAGGGGTCACCACTCCTGGCAGTGGCAGTGCTCACAGAATCTTACAAGGTACTGGGGATTGAACCCAGGTCTCCTGCATGCAAAGCAAGTGCTCTAACCTGTTTATTTCCGCCCCCCACCCCCAAAGCAAAACTTTTTTTTGGTGCTTTTTCACTTGCCTGAAGATAAATCCCAGTCCAAAAGAAAAAAGTTGGTCGGGAAGGGGCCTGCAGTCAAACATCCTCGCTTAAGGTATGCAGAGCTGCAGCGTTCTCTCTGAGGATAAAAGTAAAAAGTAAAGGCCCTCCCATTGATCATCGATTTGCTCGAGCGGGCCCAGTAACGTCTCCATTGGAGACTTTGTTGTTACTGTGTCTGGCATATCGAATACGTCACGGGGAGCTTGCCAGGCTCTGCCGTGCGGGCGAGATACTCTCGGTAGCTTGCCGGGCTCTCCGAGAAGGGCGGAGGAATCGAACTCGGGTCGGCCATGCTGGCTGCGTGCAAGGCGAACGCCCTACCGCTGTGCTATCGCTCCAGCCCTCGTGTTTACAAATGAAGAAAATCCAGCCCTCTCTGAGGATATGTCTCCTCTTTGTTGTTTTTGATGTGGGGCCATACCTGGCAGTGCTTATGGGGCCATATGCGGTGCTGGGGACAGAACCCTAGTTGACCACATGCAAGGGAAGCACCTCCTGGCTGTCCTTCCTCTCTGTCCCTCCTTCATGTTTTCCTCCGTAGTATTGCTGACTGTTCGCTCCCATCTGGTAGATTCCTATGAATCAGGCCGTCCTCTCCCTGCTCGAAACCCTAAGTCCATCTTTTTAAAAGCGCTAAGTTCCTTTCCTTTTACAGATGAAAACTGGGTACAAAAGAGACTGATTATATTCCTCAAAGCCACACAGGGTGTGAGAGAGATGGGATTTGTGCTTGGGTCCCCGAAGCTCTGAAGTATGTGTGGTATGCCAACTCACAGTCACAGATAACACAGAATTATATTTCAGCCTTGTTTAACTCATGGCACCTCTCATGGTTGGGCTGGAGCGATAGCACAGCGGTAGGGCGTTTGCCTTGCACACAGCCAACATGGCCAACCCGAGTTCGATTCCTCAGCCCCTCTTGGGCAGCCCGGCAAGCTACCAAGGGTATCTCGCCCGCACGGCAGAGCCTGGCAAGCTCCCCGTGATGTATTCGATATGCCAGACACAGTAACAACAAAGTCTCACGATGGAGACGTTACTCGGCCCGCTTGAGAAAATCAATGAACAACGGGAGGACAGTGACAGTGACAGTGACCTCTCATGCCGCATTATCCGAAGTCAGCAAGCAACCCAGTGAGTAGATCACTGGCCTTGTTCCATCAAGGAATGTCAGGGCCCCGAGGTCTCTCCTGAGGGCCCGGGGGTGGGGGGTGCCCAAAATCCCTAAAAGAAATAAAGAAAAGTGAATTGGCCTACCGGTTGGCCATGGGAAAGTGCAACCAGAGGAATTCTGGTTGTGCCTCCATTAGGCCGGGGTCCTGCCCTACTTCCCCCCAACCCCCGCCCCCGCCCCACCCCCCATGTTTACACGTTCCCAGCTGGCCCCACGCACATGCCCTTCATTCACCTAATTTCCCCCACTGAGCACTTTTCACTCCTTCCGTTTTGGCCTTTATTTGTGAAAACAAAATATGTCACATTAATGGAGAGCCAGCTAGTTTTTCACTCATTCGGGATTATCAGTAGCTTATTAATAACATGTCAGGCAAACTGCTCGTCTGAATGTCTAAATAAAATGGAAATATTACCTATCAACTTTACTTCTGGTTATGTTTTAAATAGTAGTCAATGACAAAATTTAAATTTTTTATGGTTTTGGTTTTTGTTTTGGGGCCACCGCAGTGGTACAGGGCTTACTCCTGGCTCTGCACTCAGGGATGACTCCTGGTAGCTCTGGGGACCACACAGGATGCCAAAGATCAAACCCACACATCGGTCGCATGCAAGGTAGACGCCCCACGCACCCAGCTACTGCTCTGACCCCACAATAATGTAATGTTGTAAAGACTTCTTTGTAAATACTTCTCTCAGCTACCCAACCACTTTGAGCCATTCTTCTTTGGATTTCTATAGTATCCCCCTTTTTTTTTTTAGCACATAATACAGTTGTTTTGGGCATTAAGTGTTCCCACACCAATCCCACTACCAGTGTGGCATTCCCTCCATTCTCCCCAGTTTCTCACTCACCTCCTATGCCTATCCCTTTATTGGACACAAAAATGATTTATTTTATATTGCTTGATAAAACTAAATGGCTAATGGAATTATCTAAAATACTTCAGTTAGGAGCTGGAGCGATAGCACAGCCGGTAGGGCGTTTGCCTTGCACGCGGCCAACCCGAGTTCGATTCCCAGCATCCCATATGGTCCCCTGAGCACCGCCAGGAGTAACTCCTGAGTGCAGAGCCGGGAGTAACCCCTGTGCATCGCTGGGTGTGACCCAAAAAGCAAAAAAATAAAAAAATAAAATACTTCAGTTTAAAAAAATTTTTTGTGAAAATTGTATATACATCTACAATTGGATCATTAATCATTGAGAGTTTCCTGAGCTCTTTGCTGCTAGTTGAACCTTCTGTGTTGTTGTTTTTTTGTTTATTGAGCTTATCTGGCTTGTTGTGCTACTTTCTAATTTGGTGTGCTCCTACTGGGTGTCGGCATTGTGCGATTTGGAGGCATTGTGGGATTTGGAGGTGTCTCGCAGCCATGTGCTCAAGGGATTCGGAATATTTAACTGCCATGAGTTTACGGAGCCAACGCCTTAGGACAGTGGGTAGGGCATTTGCCTTGCACACAGCCAACCTGGGTTCAATCCTTAGCATCCATATAGTCCCTGGGGCACTGCTAGGAGTGATTCCTGAGTGCAGAGCCAGGGGTAAGCCCTGAGCACTGCCTGATGTGACCCAGAAACAAACAAAATGGTGATGGGACGTTGGGTGTGCTTGTGGGGTGTGGGTGTGGCTTCCTGGCAGAAGTCTGGGGGGGAGGGGGGGTTGTCGCTGTCCATTCCTGCTCCGAGAAAACCCTAATTCTCAGCCTGAAAGCCTGTGTTCCTGGAAATTTTGGTAATTTGTAATCTTCCGTAGTTTGGTGAAATCTCTGAGATTATTCATGAGGGAGTAGAATTGGGCCATTGGCAAGGGCAGCTGTGGGGGTGTGAGTGCAGCTGCCAGGGCTTGGCGGGACGGGACTCAGCCCACATCTCCCCCCTGCCAAGGGTGCCCCAGAGTTACAGCCAGGAGACTGGTGTAACATGAGTTTTTTGCAATTTGTTTGATCTCTTCCAAGATTTAATAGTGAGTCTGTAAAGCTGGGCTGATGAATGAGCTTATTGCACTAGCAGTTGTGGGACATGGGGCCAGATTTCTATAGCATTTAAGTAGTCAATAAATCAGCCACGGGGGAACCCTGGAGGGGGGCAGGTGAGTCCTCCACCCTTCAAACAGGCCCGGCAGCTGGAAACCTCCAAAACC